AATAATAGGGTTTTTTAGGCTACATCACTTGGTGGTGTATATCCTTAGAGTCTTCAATATTTTTGAACACTTGTATACCCTTATCCTATAGTGTAGTTGTTAGGCTGCATCACTTGGTGGTGTATATCTTTAAAGTCCTCAATATTTTTGGACACTTGTACACCCTTATCCTATAGTATAGTAACTCTTTGTTTAGGGTATTTTAAGTAATTAGTCAAAGGTAAAATAAAAATTTCTAATAAAAACTAATGCATTTATTAATAATAGCAGACAATGACATCAACGACACGAAGTGTGACATTACCCCTAAGATGCATTAATTGTTTATTAACTACTAATAGAATGCCACTATTTTCTTATAAAAATATCTATTCTACCCTTTTAAATAACCAAAAATGCCCCTACGTGAAAATTTTCATATTACAATTCAAGGGTATTTAATAGTCAAAAAATGTTGAAGACTTTAATAGTATACACCACCCAGTAGTGTAGCCTAACAAAACCCATAATAATAATCGTAATAATAATAAAAATAATAATAATAGGGCGTATATACTATGTCCCTTAGGAACATAATATACGCATACTCCCTCGGACAGATGACCAACTTGGGAGGATTTTTTAAGTTCTCTAACAATCTCACCCTGAAAAAAAAATTAAGCAGTCTTTGTTCAATATTGATAAGTTATTGTTTTCAAATGCATAGAGAGTGTAATTTGGATTTTTTTTTTCTTTTTTTTTTTTATATTGATGTTAGTCTAGGGATTGAAGATGTTACATCCTAACATTTTGGGTCCTACAATTACTCTTAGATTGGGTGTTACCCAAAGGAGTAAATGAACAATATGCTCCCACGGTATTATGAAATCTTTTGGCAAAAAATATATGTACGTTAAAGAGATTCTTATTTCTCATGTCATCTTGCAAAACAAATAAAAGCAAGATATTAAATTCAATCCTCCTGTCAACTTGACATCAGATTCAACAGAAAAATGCCTGTACCATATGAAATTCGAGAAACACAAGATAATAATTTCCAGTTACTTCTACCTAAAAGTATTACACAATTAAAAGAGCTCGCATTTCTCATGTCAGCTTGACCTAAGATTCAACAGGATGATGCCTGTAGGGTAAGCATTCATGCACAACAAAGGATGCATACAGTTTTCTCAACATGTACATAGATGCATTGCAACTCTATGACAACTGGATACTCATGTATGCTTGACGTTCCAGAATAAACAATAGGAAAAAATACCAACATGGATGCCCCAAGGATGAAAAGTTAATAGATTATAAATTACATCTTACAAGATCATAAATTATGTCAGAGTCATACATTCACATACTACATAGACAAAAAGACTGGAATTGGGTACATAACTCTTATTATTATTATTATTATTATTATTATTATTATTATAATAATAATAATAATAATAATAATAATAATAATAATAATAATAATAATAATAATAATAATAATAATAATGACCTCATAGAGTGAATGAGTAGGCCTTAGATTTGAAGGGCTAAAAGGTAAGGTGCTGGTGCCCGATGCTACGTAAAATGCAAAACACTGACCTGATATATGACCCACACAGACCAAGCAATAACACATGTTACATTGAAAATTGGGCCCAAGACCCAGTTTTTCTTTGAGGGATCGGTGGATGGATCCGTAGAATGGGGTGTCGAGAAAAATTTTGCAATAGAATCAGGTGCTCTAACATGGTTGAATATGTTGAGGGACTGGCCCTTGTACAATGTAATTGTCATTGCACCTGCCACACAAACCAGTATTCCCATGATCTTTGCCCACCCACTCTTGCTCCTCAAGTCAAGAATATCCATTCTACATAAAGAGAGTAAGATGTTGAAGTCTGTGGTTTCGACTCAGAAAATGAAAACCAGTTGAGGTCCGCTAAAAAAAAGAAGCACAATTGTAACTTCAAAATCAAAATGGAAACCAGAAATGAAGAAAGCGAAGCACGAGTCTTACTTCAAAATCATGGAAACGAGTGAGATGATAACGGGGATGAGATTGATGAACGTCGCAGAGAAGGTAGGAGTGGTGTAGTAAAGCCCTATTATGTAACAGTTTTGGGCCACTGTGATCCTGCGACGAAAACGGATCACTGTTTATCATTAAACATGAAAATTCAATACTACAAAAAATTTATGCGCATAAACCCTATGACTTACATTTTCCCAAAATCAACTCAATTATTCCATTATTACATCTAAACCTTTTTTATTCACAAATTTTTTAAAATGGCCAAATCATTCAAATTTTGGATATTCAAGATCAGAAATTAAACACTTTTGGAATTCAGTCATCTTTTAAGATTTTAGATATTCAAAATCTGAAAATCCAAATTAAGACGGTCTAAAATATGTGTATAATTTCGACCTAAATTTTGGATTTTGAATATGCGAAGTACATAGATTTGGTTACACAACAATTTCCTTGAATTTCAAGATCCAAAATATTTAGCACAAAAAATTACAAACTAAATTTAAATTTATGTGATTTTTTTTTTTTTTATCTGTGTATCTGATATTCAGACAATTCTGAGGTGCTTTAAGGTTTCTATGGGAATTATAAGCGCTTTTTAATTTGTTGATTTAGTCTAAATGGTGTTCTTAACACAATTCTAAAGATTTTTTTTTTTCTTGTGGGAATTATAGTGTTTTAATTTTTAATTTAGTCAAATGGTATTACATGTTATTTAGGTCAATTTCCTAAGTTTTCTTTGTATATATGCTGTCAAACCCAGTTGTTTGGAGTTTTTGAGATTTCTGGAAACATTTTTTTTTGTTTCCAAGCAATATTTTTATCGTAGTGTATGCTTTCAGGCAATATTGATATTTTGTTTTTTACTCTATTCCATTTACTTTGTACTTGTTCATATAGTGCATTGAAGGTGCAAATTTTACAAAATATTTTCTAATTTTCGAGCTAAACAAATCAAATTATTACCTAAAATATTCCCAGTACAACACATCTCTCTCATATTCTATTTAAAAAGGCTAAAAGATATGAGACCATTTATCATCTCAAGCCATCCAATTTGACATCTAATGAATGGGAATGATTGTGACCTCCATGTACAAAAGATAAAAGGTATCGTTTTTAGACGGTTGCAACCTAAAACAATCTAATGAAGGCATGTTAACCTATGGATATCTTGTGTTAGTATTGATATACATCATTACTGATACATATCAGTATAGATATGGATATCTCGTGTTAATATTTATATACATCATTATGAATACATATTAGTATAGATATGTATTTGTATGTGTATATATCTCTCGATAAGATTAGACAAGTGTTAGTATTGATATACATCATTACTGATACATATCAATATCGATATGGATATCTCGTGTTAGTATTGATATACATCATTATGGAGTATGTCTATGTATATATATGTATTTGTATGTGTATATATCTCTCGATAATATTAGGTGTCTAGGCAAGATTAGTTAGTACCTGTTGGTATCTATCCACTGTTACTAGTCTTATATTAATATAAGGGGTGTTGTATATTCTTGATTAATCAATGCAGAGATAGTTCTCTGCAGTATTCTAAAATAATCTTTCATGAGGCCTAAAGCCAAATATAAAAAAATGCAGTTTCTAACATGGTATACATGGTATTTGGTATTTCGTTTGTAAAGTATCAACCCCATGGTATCAGAGCAAGGTTCACGATTTGGTATTTCGTTTGTCAAGCATCAAGCCTCCGTTTTCAGTTTCCCTGATCGGTGAAGTTTTCAGTTTCCCTGATCGGTGAAGCCCTGAATTTGGGACTGGCTTCTCTCTTTTAAACTTTAGAGGGAGAAAAGAGAGAGTGGAAATTCTTTGACGTTTTGAGACTTGATTGTAGGTTTTCTTTTCAAGAGATTTTGGTGGCTCACGTGATTTCCTGAATTTAATACTCAAGAATATTTTGAGTACTCAGGATTTGTTAGCAAGCATGAAGTTTGCATTGTTACCCATTGCGAAGGTCTTCACGATGTGTTTTCTAGGGTTTGTTATGGTGTCGACAACAGGATTCGAACCTGCGCAGGCCAAGCACAACAAATTTCGAGTCTAAGCCGTGTTTCTTTGCCATTTTTGTAATGATCTTTTCCTTAGAATAAGAGAGGATAGAGAAAGATGAAGAGATCGGGGGCCTTTGTGGCTTCTTCAATGGTTGTGATTTTGCTTTCACAACTTCTGGTGAAAGCAAGATCTGGGTATCTCAAGATTTGGGTATCTGCATCCATTTTCATAACTATCCACCTCTAAATCCACTTTTGAAAACAATCGATCTGCAACATATGCAAAACAACCATCGAGTTGTGGTTCGACTCTTTGATATGTCTCTTGCCAGCTCTCTGCCTATTTTTGTCTCTGGATCTTGATCTTTGGTCCAGATTTGTCGGAAACCTCGCCAGCCACCCTGATCGAATCTTTTTTTGTGATCGAGTTTTCTGTTACCTGATCTAATCTTTTTTTTATGATCGAGTTTTTCGTTACTCGATCCCGTTTAATGATCGAGTTTTCTGCTACTCGATCATGTTTGATGATTGAGTTTTTCGCTACTCTATCCCGTCTGATGATCGAGTTTTTCACTACTAGATCCCGTCTGATGATCGAGTTTTTCACTACTCGATCCTGTCTGATGATCGAGTTTTTCATTACTCGATCCCGTTTGATGATTGAGTTTTCGTTACTCGATCCCGTCTGATGATCGAGTTTTTCGTTAATCGATCCCTCGAGTTTTTCGTTATTCGATCTCGTGTGATGATCGAGTTTTTTGGTTACTCGATCCCGTTTCTTCCGAATGCCTGTTAGTCTGTTGTTGCTTGAGTTCTATGCGAAGAGCTGAATCTATTGGCTCTTCAATGTGCCATTATGCTTTCTCAGCTGTCTCGATTGTTTTTTCTTGCCTCTTCAATGTGCCATTTTGTGTTCTCAGCTGTCTCGATTGTTTTGATTATTTTTTCTGGAGTTTTTTGTCTGATGGCTCAAGTCTATTCCTGAGGCTTGTTCAAGCAAAGCAATCTGAAGACTACTCGTTTTTGGCAAATTAGTATTATTCATACTCGTTTTTGGTAAATTAGTATTATTCAAACTCCAGCTGCTTTGTGTTAAAGCATTTTTAGTTTGAGGGGGAGTGTTAGCGTTTTCTCAAGTTAGTATTGATATACGTAATTACTGATACATATCAGTATAGATATCGTGTTAGTATTCAGTATAGATGTATATTTGTATGTGTATATATATCATGATAAGATTAGGTGTCTAGGCAAGATTAGTTAGTAAATATCAATAACGGTTGGTATCAGAACTGATTTGTATTTGTATGTGTATATATATCCTGATAAGATTAGGTGTCTAGGCAAGATTAATTAGTAAGTATCAATAACGGTTGGTGTCTATTCTCTATTTAGAACTGATGTGTATTTGTATGTGTATATATATCCTGATAAGATTAGGTATCTAGGCAAGATTAGTTAGTAAGTATCAATAATGGTTGGTGTCTATTCAGAACTGATGTGTATTTGTATATGTATTTATATCTTGATAAGATTACATGTCTAGGCAAGATTAGTTAGTAAGTATCAATAATGGTTGTCTATTTAGAACTGTTACTAGCTGTATATTTATACGTGGTCATATTCTTTATTGATTAATAAAGAAATAGTATTGATATACATCATTATTGTATGTGTATATATATCTTGATAAGATTAGGTGTCTAGGTAAGATTAGTTAGTATCAATAACAGTTGGTGTCTATTTGTATGTGTATATATATCTTGATAAGATTAGGTGTATAGGCAATTTGTATGTGTATATATATCTTGATAAGATTAGGTGCTTAGGCAAGTAGTAAGTACGTGGTTTTGTATATTCTTTATTGATTAATAAATAAATAGTTCTTTTCAGTATTCTGAATAATCTTCCATGGAGCCTAAGGCCCAAATATTCAGTATTTTATCATAATATGTAATTTTGGTGTAATAAAATTCTTAGGATTATCTAAAAATCTATTTTTATCTCTAATTATAAAATTTTAAACTTCAAAAGGATTATCTAAAAATCTATTTTTATCTCTAATTATAAAATTTTAAACTTCAAAAATAGTTAAAATCATGTAGATCTATAAATATATGAAAATCTTGCAAATGAACGGTGCAAATGAACGGTCTAGATAATGTGTTGCAAGATGCACTGAGACTCATTTTTTTATTTTTTTATATTATATTCATACATCTCGATGTCGAGTTGATCAATTAGAAGGTTTTTCAATATTAAAACAACGATGGATTTTTTAGGTGCATGTTGTAACCTTCTATAAACTTTTTTCAAAGATAAATGTTCTAAAAATAAATGATATTTTTGGAGACAATCCCAAAAGATATACTCCTAGAGAACATGCTTTTTGTTTACTCCCTCTGGTAAAACCCACCTAGGATTTGTGTTAGGACCCCAACGTTGAGAATATAACCTCTTTAATACATAGATTAACCTTAAGTAAAAAACAATTCCTACTTACACCCTCTAAGCAATTGAAAAAAATAATATCTTGATAGAAACTGTACTGCTTTCCGAGGGTGAGATTTGTGTAAAAAACTCAATTTCCAAATTTATTTTTTTGAGAATAAGGTTAGTAATTTTAAGGTAGTAACCAAAATTTTAGATCGAAAAAATCTATAATTTTCAACAATGGACTCCACATTTCCTCACTCCAGGCATATTTCTTTATCTTTTCGCATATTTCCATATAAAACCTATATAGCCAAATTACGTGTTCTCTCTAGGCCTATTCGTATTTGCCCATGCATAATACTGCGACAAATTTAAGTGAGGACCTAGGGAAATGATGAAGTGATACCGCATGGTCCACAGCCGTAGACCCGTCCCGGGTCTGGGTTCAAATATTGGACCCGAACATTATTCGGGTCTGGGTCCATGTGGACCCAACCTGAACAATATTATTATTTAAATAAATATTTAATATACAATATTTAATAATATTTAATTAAGGGTGAGGTTTGTACAAGGTTGCCTCCTTATACTGTAGAAAGAAGGTTCAGGTGTCGGAAATCTTATGATGGCTAAAAAATTAATTTTCATCCCCAATTATAAAACGAATCCGATTTCTATGTGGTCAAGCCTGCATATGTATAACTGTGCGCCTCTTAATAAATATATTTTTTGAAATGGATTTTAAAACTTATTTTTTAAGGGCATGTAATCTCTAACATGGAGATCATGAATGTGAAAAAATAAATAAGTTTTAAAAACTAGAAATAATAATTCTAGTAAGAAAACATTTGGACCGTTAGTTTGCATTTTTTTTAGGTGAAGCACCTACTTGCATCCATCTTAAAGATGGATGCTTTACACTTTCTGGACCTCATATGTTGAAATGTGGTCCAGCCCACATGAAACAATTTTCCTTAGAGTTTAAAAACATTATAAATAGAGCAGATCAATAATCTTGAAAATGGACGGTCCAAATAAGTTGTTACAAGATGCACTAGTTTTTTAACTCTAATTCCTTCTTTTTTCTTTAAGTATGTGTATATCTCAATGTTCAGATGATCAATTGCAGGGTTCTCTAGCACCGAAGCACTCTCTTCTATAAGGTTTTTTTAGATACACCTTACTTCAATAATTTAAGATTTCAACCTTATACAAAAATTTTTCTTTAATTAATATTTAAATAAATAGAACTATATATTTTTAGTTATAATATTTAAATAATACATGTATGTATTTAACATAATCCGATGGCTTCTTTATCTGTCTTCTTTGCTAT